GTCAGATTCCCAGGTTGTTTTAAATTGGGTAACTTCTTTACCTCACAAATGGAAAGTATTTGTATCTAATCGGGTGAGCCACATTCAGGAAATATTACCTCCAACCTCATGGAAATATGTCCCATCATCGGACAATCCAGCTGATTGTGGTTCCCGTGGTCTGTTTCCGGACCAGCTGTCCTCATTTAATCTATGGTGGAACGGCCCCACTTGGCTAATCTCTGATTCTTACTCTTGGCCATCTCAGATCATGTGTAATCTAAATGATCAAGAATTGATCAATGAACAAAAACCTATCGTAGTTAACTTAATGGAAAATTCTACAAACTTTATCGATAATTTACTTACTAACATTTCATCTTTATCAAAGATTAAAAGAATTGTAGCTTATGTGCTGCGATTTATACTTAGAACTAGAAAACAGAAGTCCTTATTCTCCGTTTCATTGTCTCAATTTGAGCTCCAAAAAGCTCTACACGTTCTTGTTAAACATGTTCAGCGTGAACATTTTTCTGAGATCTTTACTGCTATTCTCAAATCTAAAAAACTTCCAAAACCCATTCGTAAACTCGTTCCTTTTCTTGATCGGGATGGGTTGCTCAGGGTGGGTGGACGGTTAAAACATTCTGAAGTGTCATACGAACAAAAACATCCGTTATTATTGCCGCGTGATTCTCGGTTGAGTGAATTAGTTATTGAAGATACTCACCGCGAGTTTTTGCATCCTGGACATCGTACTCTGCACGCACTTCTGGCTCAACAGTTCTGGATTCTGTCACCGCGACGAGCCATTTCCGGATGTATGAAATGTGTTCGAGCTGATCCCAACACGCAGATTCCATTGATGGCTAATCTTCCCAGTTACCGATTCTCTGAGCTGAAAGCCTTTTACGTATCTGGGGTGGACTTTGCCGGTCCAATATTTACTACAATGCATCGCTCTCGTGGCGTACGGTCTGTAAAGTCGTACATTTGCGTTTTTGTTTGTGCGTCCACTAAAGCCGTACACTTAGAGTTAGTTTCAGACTTATCGACAGACGCCTTTATCGCTGCTCTCCGACGCTTTCTATCTCGTAGAGGACATTGCTCGATGTTATTTAGCGACCAAGGAACAAACTTTGTGGGAGCTGACAACAAACTTCGTGAATTGGCCGCAGCAACTGGTACCTCCTTTGGGATCAACTGGCACTTTAATCCTCCCGGAGGCCCCCATTTCAATGGATTATCTGAGGCGGGAGTAAAATCGGTGAAAAACCATCTCACAAGAGTTATCGGAGAGCAGATACTTACATTCGAAGAAATGTACACCGTCTTAACACAAGTGGAAGCAGTATTAAATTCAAGGCCGTTGTATCCGATGTCAGGTGATGCAAATGACTTACAACCCTTAACCCCCGCGCATTTTTTAGTTTTAGGTCCACTTAATTCCGAATTACCGGAACCTAACCTTACAAAACGACCGTTAAATCGTCTTGACCGTTGGAACCTAATCCAAAGGATGGTCCAAGATTTCTGGGGGCGCTGGCGTGACGAGTATTTGCACACACTACAACAGAGACACAAATGGTCGGAAAATTCTCCAGGAATTAACGTTGGAGACCTTGTTGTTATAAAACACGACCAAAAACCGCCACTTCAATGGACATTTGGGCGCGTATGCGACATCCACCCTGGCCAAGATGGACTCGTTCGCGTCGTATCTGTTAACACCACCAATGGCGTTTTGGTTCGACCTGTTTCAAAGATTTGTTTGTTACCAAAAAAGAATCGTGATAATTGTAATTAATTTATACTTAATCTATTCGTTGTACTCTTCGTTTCATTATTTTGTTCACTAGTCACTTTAATTGTTGTTAAAATTATATTAATTTTGGTGGGTGGAATGTTCATGCAAGAANAGGTTATGTTGGGAGTATGCACAAGGGGTCCAATGGGGCCTAAGTGCGGTGTGCGGGAACGCATGCACTCCCGTTTTCTTACATACATACATAAGTTAAGTCGACAAATGAACCTGAATATATAGTTTTTAGTTTTAAATATTGTTCATGCAAGAACGCATTTCGAGCCTCGAACGCGCATGATCCGCTCGGGGGCGTGCGCCCTCTAACGTTATCCGTCACCTTGATTTATTATCGGCATTATCGATCAATCGTTCGCACGCGCCAGTTGAATTTAAATGTAAAAAAGGTGGTGAGTGACAATATATATATACGTAAGACAATTTTATCTTTTTATTTTCATATTTCTTAACAAAATTGAAATCAGCACCTCTTCTTAATTACCCAGCTTATTGCTGCGCGTACAATAATGCTTTGCAAAATATGAACAATATTGGCGGTTCCTTTGCTGGGGATGGATATAAAGTTAGGGAAAAATTTAAAAATTATTTTTCAAGTCCAGATGGGTCTGTTGAGTGGCAAAGTCGTGCCGTCACACAGGGAAGAATTGATGTGAAGTGATTATTATTTAAATATTTCAAATATAATAATATTAATAATTGAGTATCACTTGTGTAAATTTAAATTTCTAATTACCAAATATTATTACCTGATATATTTAACTTTGTCCCAATTTCCTCCCACGAATTTTCTTTGACCAGAATATTATGATAATTTGGGTCCGACAGGTCATACAATTGTTTGTACTCTTGTACTAACACTAAAAATTTTTCTTCGACCATTTTTGCATCTAAACTGACATAAACCTGGTACTGAAGTGCGAACGCGTCGATACTTCGAAGCGATTATTTGCCCCGAAGACGACAAAACTCCTAGACAGTGTCTACCAATTACGTCATATGGTGGCGCGGCGTGACTCAATGCCGCTCTTCGATTCTCGGAGGAGAATTGGAAAAACCGCGCCGCGCAGTGCGGCTTTACCTTGCGCGGCCGACCTAGTGGACGGAGATACATTTATTTCCAATAGTTCTTATAAAAACCGCGCCGCGTCGCTCTTTCCGCGCTAGTGGACGGTCAGCTTAAGTATCCGGAATTCTTTGGAAAAGCTGAGAAGCTTTAGTGGGTCGAACGCTTGCAGTTTCTCTATTCTCCAATTGCGCAATGAATCTACGTACCGTTGTTACAAGTACCCCTGTCAATTCACTGGTAACTTTACACACAGCAGAACAATCCTTTTCTTGTAATTTTACGTAAACGTTAACAACTATTCTTTTACTGTCTTCGGAATAAGACTGTTTTGGCGAAGTATTCGTAGATGGTGACTCGTTTACCCAAGGACGAAACATTTTCTTTTCTTACGATACCTCTCACGTGCCCTTTAACAAAATACTCATCGACAATCTCCCCTGTCCTCTTTTATAAGTAGTTTCCATAAGCTATTTTAAAGTGTTTCTTAGAAAAGAATATTATTTTTAGGAATGTCTAAATAATAGAATAAAATTTTAAAGAATCTAATTATCCTCCGCCCACTTTTGTAATTAGACAATGCATGCCTTCTCAAAACATTTCTTAGAAAAAATATGTACTTAATATTAGAAACACAACAAATAAAAGATTAATGAGTATTTGTATATCACCCTATTATTGTTCTACAATTTGCAAGTAAAGGGTGTTCCTTAATGCGGCCCTGAGTGAGGAATCCCAGCATGCTACAATGGGAAACTACCTTTTACAACCCCGTCTTTGTTCGTTTTACAACTACAGTAGGAAAGTGACAGAATCATAAAAACCGACCGAGATGTGGAAGAGTATACCTGGTTGTACAGGAATTCTGGATAATAGAATACTCATCGTTTTAGCACTGGGTAGTGCAAAGAATTTTGACAATACCTTATTATTTGATGTACCATGACCATACGAATGATGCAGAAGTTCTTCTTTTTGGGGCTACTTTCATAAACAATTATCAGAATTGAGTCCCGAAATCATGTGTTGTACTGTGTAATGTGATGACATAAGGTATCGTAATTCACTACATTTTCAGGGAACGTCTCTCTAAATTCCTCTACACAAAGACCTGTTGAATATTTCCATACCCCATTTTGGTCGTTTACTCCATTTCGAAGATAAGATCGGAGAAGAGTCTTTGAAACTTGTCTTCTTCTAAGGTGAACGGCATGATTTAACCTAAAAATAAATATATCAACGAAATTTATACCAAACCGATTTAAAATAAAATAATTATTTACCTTATAGAAAAATCACAATCGAATTTTTGTCTTAATAAAGACAGATAATATTAAATAAAACCGCAATAAATTCAAAATGAAATATTGAAAACACCGAACGCCAAAACCAAGAACACGACTCTCAGAAAAATATAATATACTATAATAGAAGCATTACTCCCCACTATTTTTCCCATTATGTTGATTTCAGCGTCATCTCGCGGAATGAGTTACCCTAGTTTAGTTAATCCGCGAAATTTAAATAATTTTTAATTTGTTTATATTTGCTCAACATTTTTATCAATAGTCATACTTTTAATTCGTTAAGAAATCTATTAGCTCGTCTTAAAAACTCCAGTCAATAAGAAGAATTTAAAACTTCGTAACGAATTAAAAGTATTAACAGTGATCAAAATTGTGAACAATTTTATAATGTAGAGGAAAGGTTCAAAAATAAAACATATTTATGTATGCAGAAAACTCATTTATTTATTTTTTTTTAATGCATGTTTCTAGCTTGCCTGGGTTGTTAGGTACAACAGTTTGTTTACCTTTTAAAATGTGATTAATTTAAAAAAAAAAATTAATTTAATATCGTCTTTGTAACACAAAAATGTGAACGTGACATTTCTTTTAATTAATTCTTTAATGTATAACAATAAATAATTCCTTTGAAAATTGTGTTCTAGAACACTATATATTATGTCGAAACATTTTCTTAAAGTGTTGGTGTACAAAACACCAACTTCGCAGTACCATATTCTTTGGCAACTAAAAATTTATTTTCAATACTGTTTCTATTAGGGCTTCTTTTGACAATATGGGTAATGCAGTATTTACATAGATTCTTTCTTATTGCTTTACGTGCCACATAACCTGCAACATATGAAAATATACTTATTTGAATTATTCAATTTTGTAGTCAGGGGAGGTAACTGATATTCTTCTTCCTCAAAAACATTACTCCCCCTGCATTCATTTAAAAAAACTGTTGGTTTTAACAAATACCATCGCTACTTATTTCATCTGCAAGTAGGTAAAAAAATACAGTGTAATGTATAGTAAATAATTTTTATTTATAGTATTAACTTACTGTTTCGCGCCATCATGGAGATAGTAGCTGCCATTGTGTGGCTAAGTACCTGAGCACAATGGGCTACTTTCATTTTCTTCATCTTTTCCTCCATGATATGCTCTTCTGTTATTTTGCGAAGAGCTCGGAGGTCCCCACTACATACATCAATGTAATAGGCATTTTTTATATGGGTCCATGATGGTGTTAATTTTTTATTGTCTGTCTCCCATATTAAGTTTTTTTTTAATAATTGGTTTCTAATACCTTTGAGTAAGTATGGTGGATCGTAGAGCACTAGCCTACTCTTATTATTCACTGTAAATGTGCATGCTGCATATTCAGTTGGTGACGAAGACATTAAAATTTTCATAGCACCCTGATTGACTGCTCCTTGGTCACGCACCGTCCCAATCCACAACTATCTAATTGTAGTATAACGTCTTTTATTAGTTTTGAAAGTATGCTACTGTTGACGCCGCCACTTGAAAACATATATGCAACTGGCTGTTTCCATTTTTTTATAACTCCCTTAATCATAAAAACCAGCGCCCGGTCTGCAATTTTTGTTGTTTTCTTGTCCCCAACATCCTCGAATCCAACAACGGCATCAAGTTTGGAATTGTAACAAATGTTCGCATCTAAAAAAACCTCGTCAAACATTAATATGCATACTCTGTTCGGGTATGGTTTTAAAGTAACACACAACTAGCATTAACGATATATTAAGAAATAAACTATGAGAATGAATAATGTTTAGCGATAACTATTAATAACAACTTGTGCGACCATGTCTATTTTTACTTCTTATTGTTTCTAACGGTTATTTTATATCCTGACCATAGCCTCAAACACATGTGTCGCCATCTATTGTGTTTATATCTAAACTGTACAAAATACTAACTTTTTTATTTAATATCACATCTCAACATACTCGTTCTACATCCTTCTTCTTTTTAACGGTGGAAGATAAATTGTGCTTCTTGCAGGCAAACAGAATAAGAAGGTACTCAGAAACCGGTAACGTCTACCAGAATATTTTTACTATGATAATGCGAACAATCTATCCTGAGTAGAATATCGCCGCCCTTTTTTTTTGTATATTGACAACTTTAGTTGCGACTTGCAAAAATTTAATGCAGTTGGGTTTATGTTGTGGAAGCAATGTAAAGGATTATTTTTTAGCCATTTTTTTCCTTTTTGTACGCGTTCCTTCAAAGTATAATTTCGGTTCCGTAGAGCCACAGTTTGTCGCTTTAACATTCTTATGGTTTGCAATAGATTTCCATTTCCGGTTTGTGATATATTGGACAAACGTATAATAAGCTGCAAGAATAAAACACATAAGTAATGACATCTAAAAGCAATAATATTAGTTAATTGGGTCAATACATATACAGATCATCCACGACGACCGTCCATTAGAACTTTACAGGGTTCTGGCCAATACAAAAATTTGAAAAGTCAGATTTAAGTATTATTAATTGCGTTCTCTTCGACTAAAATATTTTCAGATTTCTAGCACTTCCGGTTATACCGGAAGTCGCCACCTACTTTATTTTTTTAAATGGAACACCCTATATATGTTTACATATTTGGATTTGTCTGTTTTCAAGGTTTACGAATAACTTTACTTTTCTAGAAAAATCTGCTCCAGCAGACATTTGTTAAAAAAATCAGAGAACACTCGATTTTTGGGATATCAATTTAGGATTCAGAACATGCGTAAGCAACATGATGGAGTATGTTTTGGTGCCGAGTATGGCTGTCTAGATCGTGTGGTCACTTTACTACGGCACGTTAACTTTTCGAAATTTGGAAATACCATAACTTCATTTCTTTAAATGGCACCCCCCATATTTTATTACTTAGTCGTCTTCGGTGTCTCATTTTACATCTTTTATATCCCATATGTCCTATACCTAACATTTATAGTTTGGGAGATAATTAGGGTTTTTTGAAAAATGCACACATATCTATATTTAACCTAGTGTGCCATGAATACCTAGTGTGACCTAGTGTACAGTGACGCCGACTTTTTAATATTTAAGGGGGGCGGAACTTTTTCACAGCCGACACGTACGCGCAATTATTTGATTGCACTCTCCATAAATTATTATCAAATTCAATATTGGCATTTCTTGAGAACAGATCACTACAAAAAGTAACCTAGCCATCACACCCACAGAAATAAACCATAGCTTTAGCAAATGTCAAACTGTTTACTCTTTCCTTACTGATCCTCTGATTACACTCCAATTACACTCCAACAGAAATAAACCATAGCTTTAGCAAATGTCAAACTGTTTACTCTTTCCTTACTGATCCTGTGATAATACATAACCACAACAACATTCCCAACACAAAATTTTTTTTCCGGCGGTCTAAGTAGATGATTTGTAAATTATAAAAAGTAACGTTGTAGTTGACATTTTTGATTGAAAAATGTTATAAAACTCAGGGTGTTCCATTTAAAATATGAAAATTGTCACCTCTTCCGGTGTAACCACAAGTACCCGGAACCTGAAAATACTTTAGTTAAAAAGCTGGCATCAAACATCACAAGTCTGCAAATTTTCAAACCTCCACTTCATTCGGTTATTCACTAGGTCGCACTAGGTATTCATGACACACTAGGTTAAATATCGATATTTGTGTGCATTTTTCAATAAACCCTAATTATTTCCCAAACTATAAATGTTAGATATAGGACATATGGGATATAAAAGATGTAAAATGAGACACCGAAGACGACTAAGTAATAAAATATGGGGGGTGCCATTTAAAGAAATGAAGTTATGGTACTTCCAAGTTTCGAAAAGGTAACGTGCCATAGTAAAGTGACCAAACGTTCTAGACAGCCATACTCGGCACCAAAACATACTCCACCATGTTGCTTAAGCATGTTCTGAATCCTAAATTGATAACCCAAAAAACGAGTGTTCTCTGATTTTTTGAACAAATGTCTGCTGGAGCAGATTTTTCTAGAAAAATTCGAATAACTCGAGAACGGCCGAATCAAATTGCAAAAAATAAAGTCATTCATAAACCTTGAAAACAGACAAATCCAAATATGTAAAAATATACAGGGTGTTCCATTTGAAAAAATAAAGTAGGAGGCGACTTCCGGTATAACCGGAAGTGTTAGATATTTGAAAATATTTTAGTCGAAGAGAACGCAATTGATAATACTTAAATCTGCATTTTCAAATTTGTATTTTGGCCCACCAAAGTTGCCTCGGTGCATAGCCGAATTATGATTGAGTTTTTCAAAAAATGTTTCAGATAAAAGTTGAATCGAAACATATTGTACATATTTTAAAATTAGTTTCAGTAATGGCGGACTTCCGCTTCTACCGGAAATGGATATCAACTTTGTTATTTTAAATGGAACAGCCTGTATATTATTGCATTTTTGGATTCTTTGTGAAATTTCAATGGTACTTTGTTAAGGATACCTTAGGTCTAACTGGTATCGTTTTTGAATTATATGATTATTTTTCGAAAAAAATGACATTTGCAGCGTCTTATAAATTTGGTAATATTGCCGAAACTGTGAAAGCTAGAAAGATTTGGTTTTCTGTTTTGGATTAACAATAAAAGAACACACGTTTGCTAATAGAAAATTATGCATTTATATTACGGAATTCTTAACGGGATCTGTAATTTTCGAACTTTTTAATCATGGATAACTTATTTTTTTTTAAATGGAACAATATACCAATTTTTGCATAACTGGATGTACTTTTTTGGAATAATTTAAAAATTACCCTGTCGATTTTGGCGGCATTAAATACATTTATGGTACATTTAAAAATATTAATTATATGTTTTTTCTCATTTAGGGGTGGCTGGGGTTAACTACCCTCACCACCCCAAATTTTTTTTTTGCAAGTACTTATTGCTTATCGATTTTGGTGCAATTTTGCATGTGATTTCTTTATACGTTAAGTAGTACTTTTGAAAGAACTAATAAGGGTTAGTAGTTTGGTATAGAAAATATATTTCGCTAATAATTGAAAAAAATAAAAAATAATAATAATTGATGAATCGCTACTAAAAAAGATTCTGCGATAATTTCATTTTCCACGAGTATTTCGCTGACAATCTCCTGTTCGTCCATTTCAAATATTATACACTTTTTTTATAAAAATCTGTTCGTTGGGACCACGGTTTATACACTTTTCTGGCCTGCACTAAGT